AAGGTCTGTTATGGTTAGTTCACAACATTTAGAATTCAAAAATTGGACGATGATATCGCACACTGTCATCAGTGGTGATCACTCAAGTCGTGAACTATCTTGCTTCTCGGTGGAAAATTGCGTAGAGGTTTTGTTCCCTGCATCATTTTTCTGATTTTGTGCAACCCGATTACAAATTCTACAGATGTTTTGGAGAAGAACCTCAAAACTATTATCGCATACTCCTAGAAATGTGCAAGTAACTTTTATCTGTATTTAGACCAACGACAATCTCCGTAATGAACCTGTGCGAACAGAGAATGACTTAGCGTGTTTCCATCCTATGATGACTATTTGGCTCGACCTCAGCTAACATCTAGTTCAATTTAAAGGCAATAACGTTTTTGAGAATGTTGGGACGCAATATTCCGTAGCTGTTGAACCGCAAACACAAAAGGTGACAACTTTGAACAAAGCCAGGATTGGTTTGGGAGAGCTTCGAATACACGGCTATAGGCTCGTCACTGTGTGAAGGTGTAGAAAGCGTGAAAGCAGGAGAGTTTGTCTCACAGTGTGTGTGAAGGTTAGCAGAATTGGTTCAGTCTTACTTCTGGTATCGCTTAGTTTTGGGAAACATGATTACACATAAAAATCCAAGTGGCAGCTTTGGAAGAATGTATAGCTGTACACCGAAAAAAGAGAGGGGCGTTCCATTCGGGGGTGACGTGATCTCCAAAGTATGTAGGAATATTCGACATGGAAAACCGCTTAGAAATATCAGCAAATGAAGAGCGGGCAAACAATCCTTAGTGCTCCTCAAGACGCAATAAGAAAGTCAAGACTCACTGACCAGGTGGAATGTGGCTGTTACACAGGGTCATGAGATAAAATTCATTGACAGGAAATGGTACTCAGCACCGCGTACCACGCCATGTACCGTATCATTGCAGTATTTTCAGATAAATGTGTGATGCATCAAATGTGAGGTGATGGTGCTCCAAGCGGCTCGGTAGATCTGAAAAGTGTAGTGCGAAACCGAGTCAAAGACTTTCCAGGCTTCAGTAAACTCCAAACTGAGGTCGGAAGTAGTCGCCCAAGAGTGACGGAAAATCGTGTAACACCGAGGTGGCCTCAAAACGGTCGCCTCAAGGTAGAGATGCGGAATCAGCTCCATCAGCCTGCAAGCACTTTATGAAAATATTGAACAAGAACGAAAGGTTCGGAGTTTAACCTTAGTCGTCCCGGTGAAGTCGGACTTGAAACCCATGGATTTAGAGCAAGTCTGGAACAACGCAAATGTGGTGGACAACCCCCTTTAGTGACAACAATACGAGAAAACAGGCAGGAGCGTGCGCACTGACCCGACTAAGCATTTGGAGAGCTGTCAGAGTTAAATTCCCAACGTGATGTGGTGTAATCCATTGTTTGTTTGAACCAGGAGTTCTATGCTTCAGAGTCGGACGAGCATAGAGCTGTTGGACCGACGTTTTTGTCGAGGTCAGTAGATAAATATTTATCCGGTTGTGTTTGTTAGTTAGATGTAATTTGGTTCCGATAGTGATAGCCAATCGGCCAGGAGAATATTACTGCAGTCTCACAAACAGTCTTGGATATGGGGTTTCAGCGTGATGCAAGAGTGGCTCTGATTTGGTGGGACTAGCGGGCACCGGAAATTTTTTAAATAGTTCAAGCTCATTTGCAATATGCTGAGCAGGGTGTGCGTGTCGACTCAGGCCAGCTTGCCCCAAAAACCGACGAGAACGACTAGCCCAGGTATACTGGGCGATTGAGTTCCTGCCAACACTTCCATGGACGTGAATTCGACGGTTGACTATCATACCAGCCTTCTATTTGCAGCACTTGCCAAATCCATTACATGGAAGTTCTACGGAGTTCTCCAATGTACTGAATGGAACTGAGGCAAAGATGTCAACAGGATCGTGCTTTTCAGTGTAAAAAATAACCAGCATGTTTGAACGAAGCAGGGTGGTCGGCCCGGTCTGGATTTGCTGAACTCTTACTGTATCCAATCAGATCTGAGTTGGCCGGTCGGTGTTATTAGGGTTTGGTTTAGTGCGTCGACTTATACCAAGGCCAGTAGCACTGAGACATAAGATGAAATATAACCATTGACAACCACCCACAACTAAATACAAAAGGTGTCCAGCAGGTTTCATGGTCTGTGGCAACACCTGACAGCCGGGCCAGTCAACTGACAGAGCCAAGATATGTTACTGGGTCATCGCTCGAGGTGTCAAGCTTACCACTCACATCACTCAAGCGCGAACATGGTCACCTGTTCATAAGTAAAAATTCAGATGCGTCCAGCGTTTACTGGTCGAGTTGTGATAACACACTCGCGTTGCGTGTCAGATGCGTGGAGTTCAAACCATGGGGTCATCATCATCATCATCATTAACAGCATGACATCAGTGTTCAACACCGATGCTTCACTGCCGTACAACAATGACTTATTTGAAAGCCTTATTGTAAAGGAAAGAGTAAAGGTGGACGGGGAATGGAATTAGTGCCACCTTACCACAATCCAGAAACTCACTCAGGCGATCTGGATAGAAAATGACAACAAGAACGCCACTGACATCGATTGGCAGCCATATCTTGTAGTGTCTCCAACCAGGCACAATGAGGATCACGCGGTCCCCATCCTGGAAGGCGAGTAGCACCGACAGCACCCAAGCGTTTCGTGATCTCCTTCATAATCCCCCGCCAAGTCAAGGGTTGGCTACCTCTCCGTGTACGCCACTCTGAGTTGGGCATGGAAAACAGCACTCTTTTCGGCATACGTAACACAACTCTATACAACCAATGAGTTCGCTTTTAGGTGAGTGAAGTCATCATTTCACGGAAAAGTCTGGGACATGACGATCCGTAGAAAGCGAATAATACGCATCCAAATGATCAAACCCGCAGATTTACATAAGCCTTCTAAAGCCTCCAAATGCCTCATTGCTCATTTTTGGGCGACTGACTGCAAATTTTCCTGTTGAACGATTGTAACTCTGGTTTCTGGTTTTCACGTTTTGTTTTAACGCCTTGTTAGTAAACCGAACCCTTCAAGCGAACTCAGGGGCATTTGGCTTTTCAAAGCATCGGTGCAATTAGAAACTCTCTAGAGGGATAAATTTTGAGGGGTAATATTAGACCGTCTCTTTTAAGGACACTGACACCTTCAAAGCAGATAACTGATATGATGTTTGACCAGTGTGAACAGAGACGGATGCGTCTTTAGTCGATCGATATCCGCCGTTTCAGATATATACCCCCGGTAGGAAAACGAGCAAGCAACACCGGACGGTGATGTGTTGAGCCCTCCGAACCATCGTTTCCCAAAGCAGTGTTGTTTCCCGTGTATAATTCAGACTGATACAATCAGAGGGAAGTTCTGTTTCTGAACTGGTAGACATATGGAAATGGTAAAAAAAATTTCAGCATGCTTGTGATAGGCTGGAATTAGGTTCATACTCTCTCCAAAATTGGACTTTCAAGCAAGATGAATTTACATACTAACGATGCGTTGAAAATTTCTGCCGTGCTACCGATTTTGAAGGAAAAAATTCCTTAATCTATGTCTTAACTAGGTGAAATTTTTCTCATTTTATCGAAATAATAAATGTACATGTTGTTAGACTAAGAAGCCTGACGGTCCGTCAGGCTCAGCGCAGCAGCTCTAAACCATGTACCTAAGTGTTTCCATCGGATATGGTTGATCTTCCAGGCACGACGGCATGTGACAGTCCGATTTAAATGCCGTCGGTGAATACAGATCATAATCCTCATCGACAGCATGACATCATTGTCCACCACCGACGCTTCACTTGGGTTATCTTAAATAATTTACATCTTTGAAGGACCTGAACCAGGAAGAAAAATACCGTCCGTGTACTCGACTTCTGTTCTCGAGGTTTCAGAGATAGAAACAGTAATTTCAAGTAGCTATTGAAAAAAACCATTTCATAAGTTTCCTGGCGCAATCCGGATAGTTCGGACGAAATTGTAGCAGCTACAACCACTGTACGACAAGCATGTGGTTCCTACAGACGATAATGATGCTGAGGATAAGAAGATGATTGCAAAAAGCTCAGATGCGATTTCTTGATGTTATTTATCCACCGATCTCAAATAGTTACACGTACTAGGCCGAATTATTCTCACAGCATCAGTAGTTAGGTGCACCAACTCATTGCGGCATTCACGGCATCGGGCATATGTTCTGTTAACTCAGACGAACTGATTCCTTCCTGCGTACCGAAGAGAGGTACCAAGTAGTATACTTGACTGTGTAAGCGATGATCGGCGTTGACTTGCCTGAACCAACTGTTCCGCGTACGTCCACGATCCATTTAGACCCACCAAAAAGCCTATTCTTCAGAGACGCACCTGTTTGCCGTAAAGTCTACAAGGTCCGATAACACGTAGAAATGTTCGTCAATCACTATATTTCAGCCTTGAAAATAAGAGCAAAGGCAGCCTGATAGATTCCGGGCCAGATATTGAATTATGTTTTGGACTAAAACACGCGAGCTAAATTGATTAATGGGGTGTGTTAAAACACTTACAGGCGAAGGCAGTGTAGTCATTTCACTAAGCAAACAGCAAATGGAGTGGATCCAAAAAGAAGCACTTCACAAAGGCTTATCAACATCATTATCAACAGCATGACATCAGTGTTCAACACCGATGCCGTCAGTCATGATTCTATTTGAAAGCACTATTGTATAGAAAAGAATAAAGGTTGATGGGGGAGGGACTTAGTACTACCTTAACATAATCATTCCGAGGTGCCTACACCGCCAGACATTCACTCAGGCAATCTGGATAGAAACTGACAACAAGAACGCCACTGACAGCGGTTGGCAGTCATATCTTGTAGTGTCTCCAACCAGGCACAATGAGGATCACGCGGTCCCCATCCTGGAAGGCGAGTAGCACCGACAGCACCCAAGCGTTTCGTGATCTCCTTCATACTCCTCTGCCAAGTCAAGGGTTGGCCACCTCTCTGTTTACGCCACTCCGAATCGGGCATGAAAAACAGTACTCTCTTCGGCAAACGATGGTTCGGTATACGTAACACGTCTCAACCAACGCACCAACCAGGCACAGTGAGGATCACGCGGTCCCCATCCTGGAAGGCGAGTAGCACCGACAGCACCCAAGCGTTTCGTGATCTCCTTCATACTCCTCTGCCTTCTAAAGCCTCCAAATGCGTCACTGCTCATTTTTGGGCGACTGACTGCAAATTTTCCTGTTGAACGATTGTAACTCTGGTTTCTGGTTTTCACGTTTTGTTTTAACGCCTTGTTAGTAAACCGAACCCTTCAAGCGAACTCAGGGGCATTTGGCTTTTCAAAGCATCGGTGCAATTAGAAACTCTCTAGAGGGATAAATTTTGAGGGGTAATATTAGACCGTCTCTTTTAAGGACACTGACACCTTCAAAGCAGATAACTGATATGATGTTTGACCAGTGTGAACAGAGACGGATGCGTCTTTAGTCGATCGATATCCGCCGTTTCAGATATATACCCCCGGTAGGAAAACGAGCAAGCAACACCGGACGGTGATGTGTTGAGCCCTCCGAACCATCGTTTCCCAAAGCAGTGTTGTTTCCCGTGTATAATTCAGACTGATACAATCAGAGGGAAGTTCTGTTTCTGAACTGGTAGACATATGGAAATGGTAAAAAAAATTTCAGCATGCTTGTGATAGGCTGGAATTAGGTTCATACTCTCTCCAAAATTGGACTTTCAAGCAAGATGAATTTACATACTAACGATGCGTTGAAAATTTCTGCCGTGCTACCGATTTTGAAGGAAAAAATTCCTTAATCTATGTCTTAACTAGGTGAAATTTTTCTCATTTTATCGAAATAATAAATGTACATGTTGTTAGACTAAGAAGCCTGACGGTCCGTCAGGCTCAGCGCAGCAGCTCTAAACCATGTACCTAAGTGTTTCCATCGGATATGGTTGATCTTCCAGGCACGACGGCATGTGACAGTCCGATTTAAATGCCGTCGGTGAATACAGATCATAATCCTCATCGACAGCATGACATCATTGTCCACCACCGACGCTTCACTTGGGTTATCTTAAATAATTTGCATCTTTGAAGGACCTGAACCAAGGAGAGAAATACCGTCCGTGTACCCGACTTCTGTGAGCTAATGTCCCGAGAGATTTTCTGTTCTCTAGGTTTCAGAGATAGAAACAGTAATTTCAAGTAGCT